AAAAGAGAATGAAAGAGAGAGAGAGAAAGCGAGGGTGAAAGAGAGATAGAGAAAGAGAGTGAAAGAGAGAGAGAGAAAAAAAAACTGGATTTTTTCCCCTTCCTTAGATCACGTTGGGAATTACTGAGTGTTGGAAAACAGATCAATAATTTATAATTATCTTGCCTGTAGCTGGAAATTAAAGTAATGTCCTTTTTTTTAATAGGGAGAGAGAGGATGAATGGCAACAGTGCCTATTGACATGGATGTATTCCACAGAAGCACCTGTTTTATTTAATTTTGTTTTTTCAACCTTATAGGAAATCAATGGGTTGACGGTGCCGTTGGTCAACCAGGACAGAGAAAAAAATGCAGAGAAGCGAAGCCAGCCACTAAAGTCAGAGAAAGAAGCTTTATTGATAGGTAAGAGGTAACTGGGGTGACCTGGGGCGTGGCACAAAGGCAACCCAGTCAGATAATCCATAGGAGTCCCTTTATTAGCTCCAACTTTGCCCCCAATATCCTGGTTACTTTCTGGCTGGAGAAAAACTCTCCCAGGAACAGCCTTGGGCTGCAGAGAATCAAGTCCAAAACGTGGCCAACAAAAACTGTAACTACAAATCCAATCAAGGCAAGATGAGGTCATTAGTCTGGCAGGGCAAGAGAAGGAATTCCAGATGTGAAGGAACGGCCATAATTCAACACGGTTAGGAGGATGCCAGGAACGCAGATAACCAAAGTCAACACAAGATAAACTCACATTTGCTCCCAGCAGACGCCACACTCAGCACAGATCTCTTTTAAACTCCCTTCCCAGGTGTGGCTAAATGAAGGGACTCAGGGCCCTTTCCTCCCCTGTAAGCCACCCACGTTGCTCCCTTCTCCGTTCCTCCCTGTGTGACCTAGGGTGAAGAGGGTGTGGGCCTGGGTCCTCTGAACTCCCTCTCCCTTGTTCTCCCTCAACCCTGCTCTGCCCAGCTGGATTTTGCCCTTCCCCAGTTTCCTCCACAGCCAACAGAGCCACACTCCCACTCCTTGTGTCAGCTGTTCGTTTTCCTCCTCGGATTCAGACTCCAACAGGGGCATTACACTAACTCTCCATGCTCCTTTTTCCAAGCATAAAGTTGGTCAGGCCTTCGAAAAGGAGAATCAGCCTCGGAAGTATTCTGCGTTTCAGTGGGTGAGAGACCCCAGAAAAGAAGTGGAAACCCCCTATATTTGGATAAGTTGGCTACACTAAGAAATAAAAAACACATCTCTGAAACTAAACATTTTTCATAAATCCATGCAATGCGGCCCTTTGTGAAAAGAACTGCAACTGGGTCTTAATGATTTGGTGGAAACATCTCATGAACTTTGTGGAGTGGTGTGGTGGCCCTAGAGGTGGAGCTCTCGCCTCACAATCAGGAGGCTGTGAGTTCAATCCCAGGTAGGGGAAGATATTTCTGTCTCTGGACACAATGAAGAATATATCTGCTGAACAAAACTCTGCCCTGGCAACAGGAAAGGCATCCGGCCAGTAAACACTCAGCTCCATTCTATGATTGATTGATTGATAGATAGATAGATAGATAGATAGATAGATAGATAGATAGATAGATAGATCTGCTGAATATAACTCCGCATTTGCGATAGGAAAGGCATCCGGCCAATAAACACACAGCTCCATTCAGTTGCCCAAATGCCACCCCACAAGGGATTATGGGGTCATTAAAAGAAGATGATGATCACATGAAATTCGTGTTTCATTCAGGTTTTTCAGATCCACCTGCCAAAGCAGGGGTGTCCAACCTTGGCAACTTTAAGACTTGTGGACTTCAACTCCCAGAATTCTGGGAGTTGAAGTCCACAAGTCTTAAAGTTGCCAAGGTTGGACACCCGTGCTCTAGAGCTTCAGGTGGCAGCTATGATGGAGTCAGATGAGTCACAAAACTTGGTTGAAGAAACCTCAAAGGGCAGAGGTAAAAATGTTGCTTGTTCCCACAGCTGATCCTGGCTTTCTTGAGTAGCATGTCATGCAACCCTAGCTTTCATTAATTGACGGGCCTTAATTACCTGTAGGTTATTTGTAGCTGCCAAATACATAATTCTCTTTGGAAAGTCGTGCAATTTCTCTCTTTAAAAAAAGGCCCATTTTGAATCTAGATGTAATACAACTTTCTAAAATATAGACGTGCTGGTTTAGAATTGTTGGTTATCGCTTACACACCAATGCATTGTTCACAGAAAACCTTTAGAACAGGAGTCTCCAACCTTGACCACTTTAAGACTTGTGGACTTCAACTCCCAGAATTCCTCAGCCAGCAGACCGGAGGTCTCCAACCTTGACCACTTTAAGACTTGTGGAGTTCAACTCCCAGAATTCCTCAGCAAGTTTTGCTTTGCTGGCTGAGGAATTCTGGGAGTTGGAGTCCAACAAGTCTTAAAGTGGCCAAGGCCGGAGACCCCTGCTTTAGAGTTCCTTTCCCGTGTTTCTTGATACTTGAATCATGCTTCAAATGATAACTAAAGGAATGATTGTAAGTTGTGGGCTACCTGTCTATGTTCTCTGTAGCCATCCATTGGCTAATTTTCTCTGCGGCCATCCATATGATCAAGCTAGATTTTTGTAGACCTTTGCTGTTTAGCAGAGACAGAGTTAATTTAAGGGGAAGAAAGTTATTTTTCCCCCTTTAATCCATTGATCCTCTATACTAGCTTCTGTTTGTCACACGACCTGCAAAGAGGTTTTCAAAATGAGAAAAATATAAATGGAAAAAATGTGGTTTAATTTGCCTACTAATCTGAATTTGGATGCAACCCATGCAGAAATTATTACAAAAAAAAAAAAAAAATCAAGGCAGGCTAATGCTGAGCAGGGTTGATAGCCAACACATGTTCCTAACCAGAGCCACCAAAGAAGTTTAAAAAAAAAGAAGAGCAAGAATTTTATTATTCAAATGCCTACAAATTTTGATGGGCAAATCAAGCACAGCACGCGAAGCTACAAAAAATTCCAGCACGTCTTTCATTGAATAAATATTTTCTTCTCTCTCTCTCTCTTTTTTTTTTTTTGGTCACTTGGATATGAACTCTTATTCTTGAAAGTGAAGGGTTTGGGTTGAAATTTATCTTCTTGTTGAATTGTTTCAGAAACACAAGTGCCGACTTTTGGTTGAAATCCAGGTGCATTTATGTACAATAATTATTTTATCCTATTCTGTATGGCCTGAATCAATTATCACAGGTTTTCTTTTTTTAATTTCATTTTAATACAGGTATCATATCCACGTTCCTTCACGTTCATCCTTTCGGAGCTAATATTGAATATCTCTGGTCGTATATGCAGCAGCTGGACTCTCGGGTAAATTGGATTTAGAAGTTTTCTTTTTGGCGGGGGGGGGGTTGAAATTAAAAAAAAATAAGATGAGGTAGGCAGCAAATTTTCACAAAATGCAAATAGAATGTCTTTAGATCCTCACTGCTGCTTTTTGCTGAGGTTACAAAATAAATTCCTGGAGAGAAATAACCCTAAATGTGATTAAGAGGATTCATTTATTGTCCTCTATAGATTTTACAATCAATCCTTCTTTACTGCATTGAAATCCGGACAACAGATCAGAATAGACTAACAGAATCATGGAGTTAGAAAGGAGACCTTGAAGGTCTTCTAGTTCAAGCCCTGCTCAGGCAGGAGAAACTGTACCATTTCACACAAAAGGCTGTCCAGTCTCTTCTTCAAAAAAATCTCCAGTGATGGAGCACCCACAACTTCTGGAGATCTTTTACCTATAACTTGGTAAAAACATTGACATAAGCAAAAAGTTTCCGCTACTTGGATCCTCTTTGGTGGGCTTTCCAGTGGTGAAGAATTCTCAAAACTTCATAAGTTTGAAGAACAGAGCAGAAGATTAGAATGGAATGGAATGGAATGGAATGGAATGGAATGGAATAGAATAGAATAGAATAGAATAGAATAGAATAGAATAGAATAGAATAGAATAGAATAGAATAGAATAAAATTCTTTATTGGCCAAGTGTGATTGGACACACAAGGAATTTGTCTTGGTGAAAATACTCTCAGGGTACATAAAAAGAGAAGATACCTTCATCAAGAGTCAAGAATCATCAGGTACAACACTTAATAATAGTCAAAGGGTACAATAAGCAATCAAATCATACTAGGAAACAGTCAATATAAGTTGTAATATATAAGGATATAAGCGACAAAATTACAGTCCTACAGTCACAAGTGGGAGGGGATGGGTGATAAGGAGTGATGAGAAGATTAATAGTAATAGTAGTGCAGACTTTGTAACTACTTGAACAGTGTTGAGGGAATTATTTGTTTGGCAGAGTGATGATATTTTGGAAAAAACTGTCCTTGTGTCTAGTTGTTCTGGTGTGCAGGGCTCTATAGCGTCGTTTTGAGGGAAGGCGTTGAAACAGTTTATGTCCGGGATGTAAGGGGTCCGTAGATATTTTCACAGCCCTCTTTTTGACTTGTGCGGTATGCAGGTCCTCCATGGAAGGTAGATTGGTAGTAATTATTTTTTCTGCAGTCTTAATTACTCTCTGAAGTCTGATTCCCCCTATTTGCTTTCCTTTCCCACTTTTCCATGGTCTTCCTTCATTTTATTTGTATTTTACACTAAAAAAAACTTTAATTTTATATATATAATATGAAATCATAGAAATATCTTTTTCCTCCTCCTCCTCTTCTTCTCCTCCTCCTACTTTTTCCCTTCTCCTTTCCCCTTTCTCCTAATCTTCCTCTTCCTCTTCTTCTTTTTCTTCCTCCTCTTCTTCTTCTTCCTCCTCCTCCTCCTCCTCCCTATTTTCCTTCTTCTTCCTCCTTTTCTTCTTCTTCTTCTCCTTCCTCTTCCTCCTCCTCTTTTTCTTTTTCTTCTTCCTCCTCCCCTTCTTTATCTTTCTTTCTCCTTCTCCTGCTCCTCCTTCTTTTACCTCCTCCTCCTCTTCTTCTTCCCTTTCTCTTTCTCCTTCTCCTTCTTCTCCTTCGCCTTCCTCCCTAGATCTCAGCGAACGAAATAGAAATGCTTTTGATGCGGCTTCCACGTATGTTTAAGCAAGAGTTTTCCGGCGTTGGAGCCACGCTGGAAAAACGGTGGAAATTTTGTGCCTTCGAAGGGATTAAAACGACTTGACCACACAGTTGGATCCGAAGCCTCTCGGGGAGAAACGTGTGACAGACTGCGATGACAGAGGCGAGCTGAAGTATTAAAAGGAGGAGAATTAGGTTTGGCTCATAGCCTTCCAAACCTGGTTTTAGTTGCATTTGTGATGTCCTCTCGTGAAAAAAAATGTAGTCGTGTGCCAGTTCCAAAAACGAAAAGGGGAAAATAAAATGCTCCTGAAATGTTTCCTATGAAAACTCAAAACCAACCAATAACTCTGCAATCATAATGATCTCATTATTTAAAAGTACGCGCCCTCTTATTAGCTCACCTTGAGCCCACTGGAAGAAGGTTTCTCGGTTTCTAAACTCCAGCAATGTCTGTGTATGATGTGGTAGATCTTCCTCCAAAATGTTCATGCCTAAGAGTCTTTCCGTTTCATAAGAAGACAATAAAAATAATAAATCAATGAAATAAATCCGATTTCATAGTGAGAAAAGAGTACATACCAAACGCCAACTTGAAAAAGGAAAAAAAAATGTGTTTGAATAGTTATTTGTATTTTGTAAATTAAGTTATTTGCTCTACCAGGGACTTTTTGCCTTATTGCCAGAGGCCTGAAAAAGAAAAAAAAACACGAAACAAAAAAAAAAAAAAAACCCCACACAAATGTGCTTGGATTCTTGGACATTGCTTTCTGCAGAATATTATTTTTCTAACATAACGGTTCTCCATTCTAAGTTCCTTTAACATGGATTGCATATCAATTTTCATAAACGACGTGTAAATAAAGAGGAAGGCAGTGTTACTGTATTGTATTTGGTATGTAACATTCAGGGTTATGTATCTGAAAATAAGTATCCGGTTGCATTACTGTTACAGATTTTATAGCAAATATATTGATTTTTTTTTTCAATAAATAGGAATTCTACCATAGTTGGACTTTTACAAGCTGACTTTTTTAAAAAAAATGTATTTATTTTGTCCTGTCCCCTCCTCCCCATCTCCTCATATATTTTACAATGTATTATTATTATTATTATTATTATTATTATTATTATTATTATTATTA